TGTCGCCATCTCTACACACCAGGACTCTAGTAGATGACTATTCGTCCCATTCTGCCTCTTGTTTCTCTCCTTCGCAGCTCTCCCAACGCGTCGCATACATTCGTGGCAACTAAGCTGCACACACTCGTGGCACCTAAGCTGCATACACTAGTGGGACCTAGGCTGCATGCCGTCATGAGACGGCTACACTCTCTCGTAGGACGTAGGTTGAGGTTAAGGTTGTGGGGGGGGGGGGGGGGGGTTAGGGTCAGATCTAAATGTTTCGGAGTCGTCAAAACCGCTCACAGCTTGGAGTACAGAACGCTTAGATCGTTGACAATAACATAGCATGACAACCCTAGAAGATAGTGCAGCCCGTGGGAAAGGTCAGGAGATTTCGTGCGACGATGTAAAGTGGTAGTTTGCGGACTAAAACGTTACTTTTACCAAAAATTCCTCTTAATAAAATTTTAGAAAATGTATTGAGACTGCGCGGAATTGCTACAAAGAACATGCTGACAGGTACACGACGGAGAGGAAAACACTGTAATCTTCTTCCTGTTTAAAAAAAAAAAAAAAAAGTTGCGTGACCTTTACAGAGCTTTGCAAAAACAACCCCAGCTTGTTTTACCGTTTGTGTTTTCACTAGGGAATTTAACTTTCAGGAGCTGATTCCTACAGGCCATACCTAATGACCTCGATCCTCATGTCTGATAGTAGAGTTCTGCCTGGTATGCTGCAAGTCAAGTCTGATATATAGGTGTAATGCGTTGAGCTGAGTTGAGTCAGGAATTGACATCACAGCACTTGGAGCATTCCCATGCATGTTTATCTTAAGCAGCCAGCGCAGAGTTCCAATACTGATAGTTCCGGTCACAATCTGTTAAATGTCTGTTAAATTCCAGCTGTGGGCGATTTGGCAGCAGGCATCCTTGCACTGGTTTCAACAGTGGCATCGAGAGCTGAACATTCAGTAAGCAATGGCAAATGACTGAACACAAAATTGAGTTGAGTCAGGAATTGACATCACAGCACTTGGAGCATTCCCATGCATGTTCATCTTAAGCAGCCAGCGCAGAGTTCCAATACTGATAGTACTGGTCACAATCTGTTAAATGTCCGTTTTGTCTTTCCTCTGAGTGTAGTCAGCCGGCCAGACCCTCTGGTTACACACAGGTTCCTCATTCTCTCAAGGCCATAATAATCTTCTTTCTCTACTGATTGTTACTTAAGGGCCTTGACCATTTCTGCCTTGTCATGTACCAATTCACCACCCAGTGGTGTAGATCCAGCCAATCTGCCTGTCTGTTCACTACCCACCACACCGGCATAGTCTGGAAAAAAGATCCAAAGTTTGCTCACTACCCGTGACCTTTTCAGTGAAGCTTGCCACTCTGCTCGAAGGATCCCTGTCTTCACCTTTTTCCAGAGCCTGATAAAATTACGACATGTGTATGCATCTTGTTCTCTAGCCACCGGAGAGCTGCAGTTACCGCCTCCACCTCCATCCTCATGCTAGATGTTGTGGTGTCATATGCTAGGCTGTCTTGCACTAAAGATTTTCCATTGGCTTTCGCTACGAACCACCAGGCACTTCTCTTTCCTCTCAGCACCGAGCCATCTGTATAGATAATCAGATCACATGGGTGTGCATTTTCGTGAATCAACTGCTGGACTTCAACTTCCGTAGCATACGCTGGCCACTGTCTGCACACCTGGCTCAATGTGATCATAATCCTACACAGGTCAGACTTTTCCGCTGGTACCCTGACCCACTCCTGTCCTCGCCCAATGTTCTCCAGCAAGCATACTTGTCTTATTGTGTCTTCTGCTTAAGCCATCCACAATTTTCCCCCTTTTCAGCATCTGTACCCTTGCCTGCAGCCAAAGCTTCATACATGTTCCCTGTATGCAGCTACTCTGAGGTATGCCACCGTTTCCTGTCTGTTCTGGAAACCTTTGAAGGTATGTTCAATAATGTCTAACTGTCTAACGACTTTTGTCTGGGGTCTGTCCCTGTTCCCCTATGTCACAATGCAACCCAGTTTTTCCAGTTTCATGAGGTGCTCAAGGATGGTGGTTGTCTTCTTGAAATGCTCGGAACCAGTTCTCTTTCTGAGTTAATTTCTTTCAAAACATCCTCATGACACCAACAGTTCTGGCTGTTTTAATAACTAATTTCCCCGTGTGAGTTCTGTGGCCCCATTGGGGTTGGAGTGGGGCGGTTTGACCCAATACCCATAACAAGCATGACCTAAAAGTCAACCGATTAGGTATGTATCCTTCAAAGTCGGAACACATGTCTCAGAAGCAAGGAACAAACAATTTGCATATAAAATGTACATTTGACTGATGTGCATGTAAAACTGAAGTTCTGGAACAAGAGCAAAGTCTGGTCCCTCACAGCCATAGTTTCGCTATCATCACATGTCTCTCAGCTTCGTAGTAGGGGAACAGTTAACAGCAGGCCAGCAAAAGGTAGACAGTGATGCAAGTGGTAAGGTGAAATCAATAGACAGATGACTAGCAGACTCAAAGTGCATAAAGAGGACCAAAGACGGTGTATTGGACGCCCTTTGCAATCAACCTGTGCGGTAACGCGGTCTGATTGCTTAAAACTGGCCTTGAGATTTTTTTAAAATAAAGAACTTATGTTTCCACAGCTTTGAGGCATATGGTGCTACTTCTTTATTTGTATGTTATTGTTCAAGTGAAAGTTCTGAGGAGAATAGCACCATTGGAATTTTAACTCTTCGCTTGCTGCTGGAGATGGGGACGGGGCGATTATGGGGGTGTCCAGAGTGCTGAAATGTCGATTCTTCAATCGGTAGTCGAGTGTTGAAGTTGCCAATGCGTTTACCAGTCTCTCGCTGTGCACATACACAGTGACTGACACGTTTTTGTCCATTTCAATACCATACACTCTTTTCTATTCTTATTTGCATGTCTTTCATTAAGATCAGACCCTCTGACAGATCGCTATTCGTCTCTTTCTAGATGTTATCGTCTCACTCGTATCTTTTGCCACTGAGACTGTACACTATAACAGTACTTTTTGGTCATTTCTTGATGTTATCGTCGCACTCGTATCTTTGGCCACTGAGACTGTACACTATAACAGTACTTTTTTGGTCATTTCTTGATGTTATCGTCGCACTCGTATCTTTGGCCACTGAGACTGTACACTATAACAGTAATTTTTTGGTCATTTTTGATGTTATCTCATTTGTATCAATGAGATTAACCTAACCTGCCTCTTTTTGTAAATCAACATCGGGGTGATCTCGTCCATCTCTCGTTGTCACCTGTATAGTTAGTTGTCTACCTACCTTGCTAACACATACAAACAGACTGCTGTGGGGTAGACCCACTGTCACTATCAAGCATGTCGTAAAAGGCGACTAATTATAGGTGTTTGCTTTGAAGTCGTAGTGTATATGCATAAGAGACGAGGAACTTTTAGTCTGCATACAAATTAGCAAGATTTGTAAAACGAATGTGCACGCAAAGCTCAAGTTCTGATACAGGACCAAAGTCCAGAAGTGGACAAAGAGTCAGAACTGTAGCCGAAGCTTAGAGCTCGTAAAAGCTAAGAATGAGAGCAAGTTATATTGCCACTTGTACCGTTGTCCACAGGTCTTAGGCCAGCCTTCTACGTTCTGCACGCCTCCCCCCCCCCCCTTTTTTTTTCCCCCATTACGGCGTACGTAAGTGTGGCTCAACTTAGTGTGGTTGGAATGTATGATATATTTTTTTTTTTTATCAATCAGCTGCTTTATTTTTCAAACTGGCCTTCTGTAAACTTGAATAGCGTAAATTAGAGCTAACTAAAAATGTAACATTAGGTGTTCCCCGAGACTGTGCTACCGCCCACACACAGGTGTGTCTCGCTAATACAGCAGAACAAAGACGGGCCTATCATCTTGGAAGCGATTAACGGCAGCTGTTGCATCGAGAACTCCTGACAGTTCACGGGTTTGTCAATGAACTGTTTACATTGTTCTACCGTGTCAGCTTCATGGCGTAAAGCATACAGCCTGTGTATAATAGTAACCGATGCAAGGGCAAGGGAAATGTAGCTCAACAGCTAAAGATATTGTTTTCTGTTACAGGTAATAAGAGTAATGAAAATGTCTTGAAATAACTAATTTATAAACGAACTGGTGACCTGCATAAGAAGGAACAAATCCACATACTTTGGGCACATCAATAACACACACACATACACACACAGAAGTAGGTGGGGGGGGGGGGGGGGGGGGGGGGGGCTGGAGTATCCGGGACAATAGGAAAGTTGGAGGGAAAGAGCGTCTAGCTTGATACGGAACTGAAGAAAGGAGACGCGATAACTAATGCAACATGGAGGAGAATGCAAGAAGGTAATGAAGTATATTTTTAGTGCAGGATTTCTGAAGAAAAAAATATCTGAACGTTGTCAGCCGATTATGTTGTATGGCCTTGACGCATAATAACCCACACAATCTTAGTCAAAAGTACTAGCCTGTAACTGATTTTTGGGCAGTTCTGCGATGTGTGCCCTCTGTCGTTACTGTTGTTATGGTTATAGTTAATATGAGCCTATTTTGGACCAGGTGACGGTCTGGAGTTGGAAGGTGGAATTCCAATGTACTTCAGCCAGCTGGACAACACTTGCCATGGGCTGAATATATTTGGCTGTTCTAAATGCTACTCAGCTGTCCTCCTTTGAGATGACCAATAATGAAATGTAAATGCAAGAATGTTCTAAAGCAACTCAGTTGACCAATGATAAGATGACCATAGATGACTATTTCTGGCTATACCAGCCGCCACTCATTAACCTATGCTGAGATGGATCGCTTGATAATGGAAAATATAAATTGTCAAACAGTGTCTTCGCTGTTTGCAGCTGTATTTCTCTGCCAGCCTTTGAGACTGGCCTCGAATTCTCCGCCTGGTCGTAGTCTGTGCATTCTTTTGTAAAATCACTTCTTACAATAACATGAAGCAAATGTAACGATAAAAACTGCCCTTGACCTCGGTTAATTGTGCTTGGATCGTTTCCCATAAAAGTAATCCACCCATCTGTTAAAAGTCGACCGAAATATTGGGTCGCCATCAATGATGGCCATCTCTTCAATGAGAGCAATGTGTGTGGTATGGTAGTCCCATCTGGCACGGTTAGGTTGTTCATGGTTGATTACGTGACGTAAATCGTAGAGCGTCCCAGTGCCCGTATCATACATGCCAAGCATCTTTTTCAGTGAATGCAAACCGGACGACCACAGTTTCTCTGCCAGGATCTGACCTTCTCCGTCAAGGGTTTTCTGGAGATATCAGAAACAATGATTATACTGTATTATTTTGTCATCTAGAAAGTGATTGCAATGTCTGGACACGTGAATAATTATAGTTAATTTTGCCGGAAAGTTCCCCCCCCCCCTTCCCTCCCCTGTTTGCAGGCTTCGGGTTTCGTGGCGAAGTTATAAGAAGTTTGCTTAACACTCTGAAGGTGGTAGGTTCGTTTCATAGATGCATTGTCTCTTCACGCGTGCTTCTTTACAGGAAGCCGCGAGTATCGTTGCTTTAGCTCATGAGTTCATACCCTGTGGCACTCTCTCGACAGGCAGCTTGCCGTTCTGCAGTGAGAGACTGAGCCATGTTAGATGAAAGCTTGTGCAATAAAGTAACACCTCTCAACTTTAACTTTTATTAATTTCTTCATCTAAGCATAATGCAATGATTTTATTTCTTGATAATAGAAAAGTCAACCAGTAACTAAACATGAGGGATTCGTGAGGACTGTCACATTAGAACTGAAGACATAGGTTCTGGCGCCTCCTCCCGTGTAGCTCCACACGAGTAAAACAATTGATCAGTCTCTTCTGTGATGATTCATCAAACGTCTTGTAGACTTAGATGGATATAGTCATGACTGTCACCGTAATCGTCGTCTTTCAAATGAAGGAAAGAAGATCTTTTAGCACGCCATAAGGCGCAATGAGGTCCTGAGAAAAGAAGCCAACCTAACCATCCGAGACCGAGTGAATAATGAAACTCTTAGGCAAATTGTGGGAACGACACTTTGTACTCCACACGAGTAAAACAATTGATCAGTCTCTTCTGTGATGATTCATCAAACGTCTTGAAGACTAAGATGGGTACAGTCATGACTGTCACCGTAATCGTCGTCTTTCAAATGAAGGAAAGAAGATCTTTTAGCACGCCATAAGGCGCAATGAGGTCCTGAGAAAAGAAGCCAACCTAACCATCCGAGATCGAGTGAATAATGAAACTCTTAGGCAAATTGTGGGAACGACACTTTGTACTAGATTCATCGAGAAACAGCATATCAAGTAGATTGGCCATCTTGTTAGAATGCCGCGAGATCAAATACTTTCACAAGCACTACATCTCAGAAGATCAACTACAAGAGTAAGAGGACGGCCGCGGAAAATATGGATCAACAACATTAAAGACATTCTACGCCTTCACGGCATGACAATAGCCAGTGGCAGCCAACGTGCACTGGATCGCAAATTATTTCTCCCCACGGCGCTTAACGCAAAAGTGGTTTATGATGATGATGATGATGATGATGATGATGATGATGATGATGATGATGATGAGGCGATCTGTTGCTATCCACCTGATTTCTCACCAACCAGTACTGAATTAGACCGTGTGAAGGGCTCTGTGTGGCAGTACGCAGTCCCGCGCTTTTCTAAGTAAGTCAAGTCAAGATACCTTTACACACCAGTGGTGAATCGGGCATGTGAGGCTAGCCTTTTGTATAGACCAATCGGTCCTCAATGGGTGATGGGGTTAACATCGCGCTGACGGCCTGTACTTCCCAGGACTTTAACTGGTACCCATTTAAGGCTAGGTCAACCTACGAGCTTGAAAAAAAAACGTGCGACACTATGCTGATTTTAGGCGACGACTTTCGGATCCGCAGTCGAGCATTTGCACCTTTTAAAGCATCATTTTTTCAACGCTACTGTACTAGACACATTGTGGTGAGTAGTGGCACGTTGTGCCCTAGAAGAAGACAAAGCAGGATCATGTGTTATTTCTTTGTATGGGTGCAGGTTTTTTTTTTCCCTTTAAATATTTATTATTATTTTGATATCAAAATAAGAAAGCTCTTCTATGTCTTGGTTGCATATAGTACCTGGCGCCACGTTCATGGTCTCACAGACCAGTCGGTAGCCGAAGAGTGATGTGCTCGACATTAGGTAGAACATGTTTTCTTTGTTCCTCGAAAGTGAAGCCGTGGGTATGATTGTGACCGCACCCGCCAACACATGTCAAATCGCCTATACAGTATAGCTGCTTGGTGAGATAAAGGTGCGCTTACAATTTGTATTACTTTTACCAGCTTTGACTGACTGACGAAATGCAGTTTAGATCAAACATTGTTCTTTCTGCTGAACATGTTTAGATAACTGCAGTGTGATAAAAAAAAATTGATATAAAGACCACGATGCATCAGTAATTACCATTGCATCGTAAAGGCCCAGCATAGCAAATATGAAACCGTTGAGTACGAACGTGCTGGTCGGTGTTGTTGGGTATTCCTCGTACCAGTCCAGTTGGTCGAGAAACCGTGCCCGCACACCGCCTTCGTGAGATCCCAACTGAAATAGTCAAACAGCAGACATAAATAGTTCAGTACCTGTAGACCAGTACACATAAACGCACACAGGCACAAGCACATACACACACCACACAGGCAGACAAATACACATGTACCAAAACGTAGCGAGTAGGGAGAAAATCTACCCTAGATTGACTGCCCAGCTTTGCACCACTTGGTGGCGAATTGATGTGTGACAAGATAGATGTTGTGAGGGCCCTTTGGGAGCGAGTGAGCAGTACGGAGGTACAATTAGATCATTACGGTCTGAGGAGAATGGCGCTGCGAGGAGTTACCTGGGGATCTGGCTTACGCTCAACCCTCATTTGAAAGGCGAGATGGATACACAATCAGATAGTTACTGGTGCCATGGAAATTGGAACTCTTAACTTGAGGCTGAAGATGGGGACGGAGTTCTTATTGGAGTGTCCCGAGAGCTATAACATTAAATCTTATTTCAACATTAGCAGTAATTTTGTGTAAACAGCTTACATACGAACTGATCTGGCCACTGGCTTACAGTGTAGCTAACATTCAAAACATTTAAATGTGATACACACACCAACACACACACACAAACACACACACCCACACACAAACACACACACAAAAAATTAGGATTTAGAGAGTAATGTGTAAATGAGTCAAATCAAAGATCAATTGAAAATAGCTGGGGGAAATGATGTGCTACGTTTGTAAGTCAGTTCATATTTGTTTGATCCGTCACGAGAAAGTTGAAACTTAAGTTTGCCACGGCGCCATAGAAAAACAGATGCATGGGGCACCGAGAGAGAGAAAGAGAGAGAGAAAGAGAGAGAGAGAGAGAGAGAGAGAGAGAGAGAGAGAGAGAGATAGAGAGAGAGAGAGAGAGAGAGAGAGAGAGAGAGAGAGAGAGAGAGAGGGAGGGAGGGAGGGAGGGAGGGAGATAGAGAATTCTGGGAAATATGATATGATGAGACGCTCGCCGCGGATTGAAAGGTCGTGGGTTTGCTCCCTGGAGGAACCGGACTTTTTTCAGATATGACCTTGACTCCCAGGTCGACCGGGTGCAGTTCCGGAAAGTAGAGGCGGCCGGCGTGATGCTGACCACATCACCCATCTTGTGCCAATTGGTCTATACAAATATGGGTCTAGCCCTATAGCCTAAAGGCGAGGAAAAGGGTCCATTACTTTTATTTTATTTTATGGTATGATGACAGGGACAATGTCGAAATCTGAAATAATCGGCCTTACACGAGGTAAAAGTCTGATATACATGATGACCAACTTGAAACGGCACATTTATCAGAAGTAATATGTAATACTGTTTTTTCCCTTGATTCATTTAGTACTTACACTCACTCAGTTCAATTGTCTTGGCAAGTTTGTTTCAGCTTGGGCCATTTTTATGAGCAGTGGTTAATTTCTAATGGTCACTTGAAAAAGACTTTAGGTGGGAATTTCGTGTTCTGTGTTCACTGTAAAGAAACGCGTTGCTCCTGACCTTAATGGACATTTCTCATTCTTCAGTTGAACCTTTTTCAAAATGCATAAGTTACACCAACAGAGAATTTGGGGCAGAGGAATTAGCCAGATGTGAAGACATTGTTCCTTAAGGCTGCACACGAAAAACAGTGCAAAATATACGAGGAAAGCTTTAACAGATGAGTAGCACATCACAAGAAAGGAGCAACAATGTCCCTAATAATATCAGATGTAGTACATTGTCATAAACGACAGTGTTTGCCTAATAAAGCTGTGGCTGTGTGATTAATTTCCGGCTGTTGATCCGGTTTTTAATTCAATATTTTCACAGATGCCTAGGGATGGGCTCAAGTGCCACACTTCATACATTAGGCAAAGCTAGGCGAACGGTCAGCTTGCGACACCGCCTTCTCTAGATTACGCCATCTAACTAAATCACGTGACTTTTTGGATGGAGTCCCTCGAATACTGGTTAGTGTAAGCCCTTTCCATGTGTTGCATTGTGGGACATTTTAATTAATGTGCTTACAAAGTTCTGTGTTCTGAATGAATTCGTATTACAAATCTACAAGTCGATATTGTGAAGTGGATATTCAAGATTTTCAAACTTTTCTGTTAGACTACATCAATTTGAATTTAAATTCACAGGAGACAGTCGTGTTGTGATGTGTGTGTCACTGTTTCTAGTCAATAGTTTGGATTTTTGGGAACTGGCTGTTTATTCTTTTTCTACTTTGAATGTGGAAAACTTACTTTTGGGGAAAATACAAACAGGTAATTTAGAAGCCAGGTCTGGAGAATATCGACAAACTATTTTGTGTTGGAAGAAAAGAATTGCTTTTATAATGATTTTGCATAAATGATGCAACTACACTGTGGATAAATTGTGTCAAGATATTTCAGAGCTCTGGGTAAGTGGATAAAAACAATATTTACTAACTAACCTCTCACAGCAAGTCACTCTTTGCCTCTTTACTATTTGTTGACTAACAGTTTAATTATATGTTGCTTCGCGAACACTGACAGAAACTTATGGTTATTCATCAACGTCTTATGCATATTTGCAGTTGTACGGTCTGTGTTAATTTTTTGTGAATTTTCTGCTTCGCGAACACTGACAGAAACTTATGGTTATTTATGTACGTCTTATGCACATTTGCAGTTGTACGGTCTGTGTTCATTTTTGTGAATTTTCTGCTTCGCGAACACTGGCAGAAACTTATGGTTATTCATCTACGTCTTACGCAAATTTGCAGTTGTACAGTCTGTGTTCATTTTTGTGAATTTTCTGCTTCACGAATACTGGCAAAAAATTATGGTAATTCATCTAATTCTGGACTTTAGTCTTGTGTATGTTTCAAAGCAGTATTTTTATGTGCTAAATTTGATAAAGTACAAATGTCAACCCCCCCCCCCCCCACCCGGCTCCTCTGATGCAATACCCTCTCAGAATCAAAGTTTAGTTTATTTCTACACGTTATTGATGTTTATGTTCATGTTGCCTGTAGCAAAAACATTTTTGTTTGTCTGTAAGAGCCTTTATTGTTTTATTTAAATAGCACACATATTTACATCAAAATAGGACGTATAGTTCTATAAAATATGTCGAAAATTAATTAAACTGTAGTTTAATTTGTGTATACATCTCCTCGATAAAAACTGTTAACACAGAGGGACTCCATTCTTGCACAAGAACGGGAATCCCCGTTGACCCAGTAGGTCTATAAATAGAGAAGGCCGTGGCTTGCGAGATGCTACTAGTCAGTAAATATAAAACCCCTTGCAATGATATCTAATTTAACAGCAATAATCTACTTTGTGACACACATCGTTCCGGGCAGGTTCATCACGAAAGACAAGGACTAGATGGCAATGTCAGCAGACTAGGGTCTTCACCTGATATAAGTGCAGGGCTGCCACTACTGTGTCCAGGTAGCTCTTCTGTCCAGTGAGGTTGTAAGCTCGTACCAGGGTAGATATGGCTTGTCCTTGTCCCATTGCTGAATACCAGCCAGGTTTCAGTTCGATGTTGTCACCAGTTTTCATGCCGGTGCTTGTTGGCCAGCCGCCTTGACTGTCCTGGCTGATGACCTAGGCGAGAACATGGTCATCTATGTTAATATAATACACGGCACAATTGACCTCCAGAGAGAGAGAGAGAGAGAGAGAGAGAGAGAGAGAGAGAGAGAGAAGACAGTCATACACACACACACACACTCACTCACTCACTCACACACACACTCACACGCACGCACACACACACAGGTGTTAAGATTGATCAAAATTCGCCATTCAATAGAAACAATTTACAATCTGCTCCCTCCTCTTCAGAAATTGTTAAAGAATATACGGGTATCGATAGTTTCAGCGGCCAGTTGGTATAAGGCAAGCTCAAGATCAAGGCTTTTACTGCTAGTGCAGTAGGTGGATCTTAACATAAATCCCCCTTTGCCTGGCTCTCTAGCGAAGTTGGTTAAACCTGATTTTCGCGGCGGCCGGGTGACGAACTCCTTGTGGTCCAGGTTCACTCCCGGGGGTAGGCAGAAAAGCCACATTTCTCCCAGATTAATGGTACCTATAATGGAATCAATGCCGAAGGGTTGCGATATCCATAGTACCGAGCCAAAGGGTTTACAACTCATGGTTTCTGGATACGTTAAAAAAAAAAGTAGCACCCTCACACACACACACACTCACACACACACACACACACACACATACACTCACAGTATATCATTCAGTCTACGCGAGCAAAACACTATGGCATGTAATCATGTACTCAGTCTTCTACTGTCTCTGTCGTCCACCTCCTCTTTTTCTCTCTCTCTCTCTCTCTCTCTCTCTCTCTCTCTCTCTCTGTCACGTACACACACACACATACATACACACACACACACATAGCCATACACTAGTACTGTTAATATTATATGACTGGTGTATCTCCTTAATAATTGTCACATCACTATATGTGTAAATGCGTGTGTGTGTGTGTGATTATGTGATAATGTGATTGCACACCTACTTACCCTAGTTTTCGTCAAGTTACATTCATATATTCACAAAGATATTGACTTGAGCGTGTGAACGGATAGGATGTCACATACACACATTCGAGCTATCGTCAGACGGCCATTCGCCGTCACTTTGCCTTTCTTCCCAGAAATAACAATGTTTGTCGGTTATCAAGTGGCACCTGCGATGTCGAGCTACGACCTTCTTCTTGCCCTCCTCCAGCTTCTTAAACTAAGTGTCCGCAAGAGATGTAAGGAACTTCTGTGTGCCCTGCTCAATGCTTTGTATAAGTTAGTATTCTTTCGTTAAGGCTATTCTTGATTTAATCTTTCGTTAAGGCAATTCTTGATTTTATAGTTACATCTTCTGCGTGTCTTTCCATAGCATTGAATGTCTCCAGGGTAGCTGTCTGTGGCAGTTGGTACCGGGATATTCTCGTCACATGGTCAGACCATCTTTTTTGTTGCTCTTTGTTAAACTGTAGGACATGTTCCAGGCCTAGTCTTCTTCCAATTTCTTCACTTTTAATTTGACCCCTTCTTGTGACTCTGGCCACTCGACTAAGACAACCTGTCTCCTTTCTTATGGTTTTGCGCTCATTCGTTTTAGTAAGAGTCCAGGTTTGGCGCTGGCAGCTAAACATAACTTTGGTGCTGGCATTTTCCGCCATTGGTCTTGATGTCAGACTGTTGGTAGGTATACACTGCCCACACTTGCTCCTTTTGGTAGACATTTGGTGTTTCCATTGTCCATCTTTGGTCCTGGTGGCACAGAGTTAGTGTGGATGCCGTTTTAATCTTTTCTCCAAGTAGTGGACCTTTGGTGTATAGACATTGTCCACATTTAATCCTAGTAGCCGTCTTGAGGAAATCACAGTGCAGCCCTTTGAACATATGACACTTGATGATGTTAGAACTGTTTAAATTTCTGAGTATCGATCAAAAGTGTCGATATTTATTATGTAGAATTAAGTAGAAGAATGAATAATTAATATAAAGAAGAATCGACAGATAATTAAACAAGCCCAACAATATCTGGAGGCCTCGGAGTTGTGGTTTTACAGAAGAATCCTTAGAATTCCTCGGAGATGTGGTTTTACAGAAGAATCCTTAGAATTCCTCGGACAGCTAAACAGAACAAACCAGATGTTTCGAAATAGTCGCGAGCTTGAAGGCTGCTTATCACAAACATCAGCAAGAGACGTTCATCATTTTTTGGTAATGTTATGAGAAGAGAGAAAATGGAACATGTTGTGACCAATTGACAGATCTGTGGAAAGAGAGACAGAGGAAGACAGCGTGAAAAGATTCATGACTGCCTCTTGTCATGGCATGGTGGGGTGACAACACACGAACTGATACATGCAGTCACAATCACACTCGGTTTTCGTTTTGTATCTTTGTGACTAGCTAAAGGTTTGTAATAGTTTATTTTATTGTCGGCAATATTATTCTCTTTTCCTGTGTTTTCTGTCAGAAACCTTGTTTTATTTGGTTATTTCAAGTTTCATGAAATCCAGTCTCTCGTACGTCTTCAGAGTACCACGGTGGCCTGTACATGCTTGTAAGTATTCTTATACCCGTCTTGGTCTGAGTCAGACACGTGAAAAAATAAAGACATCAGTTGCACACTCTGTCCGCTACATCAAAAATAACAGACAGACATACTAGCCAGTCGGCAGCATGAATCAGATGGTCGTTGTGTGCCGACGTAGATATTGTTACGTTATCCAGAAAACCTGTTCCATGCAGAGTGACGTCAACAATTTCCATGAAACACGTAGGAGCGTTAAACTTTGTGCGACCGAGGGCTGTGTGAGATGAAACATTTGTGCATTTAGTGTTAGATGTAAACTGTGGTAGTAACCCATTAAAAAAATCAATTAAAATAAGCAATACATTCATAGGTATTGGTTGACGGTAATACATGTAAAGGAGAGAAGTATAAATAATAAACATATTAATTATGTCTTCATGATTCACCATGCCATGTGCTTTGATATAGTCATATGTTTAGTCAGTTAGACACCAATAACTTATAGATTCGTCAACCAGGGCCGTGAAGCACCAAGACTACTTCCGCTATGGAATAAGGACATATTTATTATCTAGATATAGACATGTCAGCCTAAGTTTAATACATCTGTAACAGCTAAATACAGGTCTAAATAAGAACACGCAAATTTATGACGCTTTGTTGGTGTGTCTACTATGTTAGGAACATCTGAGTTCATATTATCCCATTTCTTTTTTATTTTAATTACAATCGTTTGTTTACAGTGTATATATTATGTTTTAATTCTGAGATCCCTGTCATGATTTTAAGACGCTACAAAAATGTGATAGTGTCAGCATGCTTCACTTTTTCATATTAGTTAATTCGTTTCCTCGACAGATCGTCCTTCGTCGTATCGAACCATTCAGCTGTGTGCTTGATCTCCTCAACAGCACACACAGTCATCACTTCATTCTTTTCCTGGTCGTCAAAGATTACACGATCTACTGGGTAGGGCACTCGGTAGGTGATCTGGTCAGAATCACGTCAGCCGCCTTTACTTCCCATGACTTTACCTGGTATCCATTTAAGGTTGGGTCGATCTGGAAGAAAAGTTCATTTATGAAAAGCCCAGCTTCGTCAGGACCTGAAACATACGACTTTCCGATTGGCAGGCCAGCGGCTAACCGCTACGCCCCGGCGGATTCCTTGAGACACGAAGAGCTCTCAGTTGATACAATGACTTGCTGGAATATATCATGCTAAAGAACTGGTCTGTCTGTATCTCAATACTGTTTCGTATGATAGACGAGTACCCACTAAAAGAGACTGTTAACGTTCAGAATAGATTCAGACAGAGAGTTTAAGACCCAAGAGACAAGCTAATCAAGGACGGGTGCGTGTGAGCTTATATAGTCTAGATAGAACAAGTTATTTTTAATTGTTCATCAAGGAGGGCCAGATGAACATGGGGAAAAATCAGAAGAAAACGAAAACAGGAATAAAAAGAAAACATGCATTAAACGACATCACGCTTGTCTGTGGTTTCTTGACTTACTGTATACAGAATAATCACTCCCCGTGTGGGTTCCGGGGCCCCACTGTGGGGAAAACAAGAATAGACCCACTGCCTCCCAAACAAGCATGTCGTAGGAGTTTACTAATTGCGGGCTTCCTTCGAAGTCGGAGTGCATCTGCCTGAGCAACAAGGAATAACCAGCTGCACACAAACAAGCCAGTAAAACTGATGTACACGCAAAACTCAGGCACGGGCACAAAGCCAACGTCCAAATGGACGAACGACGACTTTCCTCAGGAGCTTACAACCGATGAACAAAGAAGAAGAACAACATCGATGTCACAATGTCATTGAATACATGAACCATTGATTACAGAGAATTCCAGAGAAATTAAAAAGCTCAACAAAATGGGAAAGCAGAAAAACGGGCACCAAAAAAAAAAAAAAAACACACACACACACACACACACACACACACAAAGTAACTTTTCGAACGGGCTACCTTTTTCAAACATAAGTCACAATTAGCTTGACTGCAGTCACCCCTATATTTTCACCATTGATTACAGAAGACGTCATGTATGGACCACAAAACACTTTAGACAGTGGGTACATAGAACATCACAGACTGGACTCCGTTGTGGGGGGAAAAGGGGCACGGGTGGGGTGGGGTGGGGTTTTGGGGAATAAAAGGGCAATTTTTTTCCTTCAGGCGCATTGGGCACATAGGGATAGACCTATATTTTCTAGACCAACTGGCACTCGATGGCTGTTGTGGTCACCATCACACCGGCTGTCTTTTCTTAGCAAGACTGTATTTGCGCTACACCTCGGTGACCCCTAGAGAGAGAGAGAGAGAGAGAGAGAGAGAGAGAGAGAGAGAGAGAGAGAGAGAGAGAGAGAGAGAGAGAGAAAAAGAAACAAAAAGAGAGAGAGAGAGAGAGAGAGAGAGAGAGAGAGAGAGAGAGAGAGAGAGAGAGAGAGAGAGAGAGAGAGAGAGAGAGAGAGACGAAGCAATGCATAGCTGTTTGTACAAAGATTATACAGATTTGATAACATGTTTATAGTGCTGTGCTCACATTTCAGCCAGTCTACGTCCACATCCCTAGCCAAGTGTACCCATTTGCCGAGATTCCGTTGGCCCATGCCGTAGATGACGTGATTGCCGTTGACCACCATGTGGGCGTCATCCAGAGTGAAGTGAATGAAGCCTAGTTTGCCCTCTTTGGTCAGTATCTGCATCGTGACCCCGCCTGGGCTGTTGAGCTGCAGGTCCATGCAGACAGTTTGTTCGATGGTGTTTAACCGGAGGACAGGTCCAGGGGAAGTTACTGACTCTAGACAAGATGGACACAGAAGACATAGCAATGCTTTGAGCTCTACTTGAAAACTACTTTCTTACATTTACAGTCATATTAGCTAGTGCTCTCATGCTTTCGGAGAGTTTCTTCTTCCTCTGGTAGTGAATTGATACACGACATAGCAGATGTGGTCAAGGCCCTTTGGGAACATCTAACAAAGTCAGAATAGAAACAAGATTATTCTGACCTGTAGAGAATGGTGCACCTGAGTGTAACTAGAGGGTCTGGCTGGCTCACTACACCCAGATGAAAGGCAAGACGGACATATAACCAGATTACTACGGGTGCCAGTAGTATTGGAACTCTGCTCTGGCTGTTGAAGATGGGGATGGAGCGTGCATGGGAATGCCCCGAGTGTTGTGATGTCAATTCTTGACTCAGTTCAACTCGCATATTCTCTTCAGCGTTTATAGGCTGTCAGCTTCGGCAGAAAGTTCTGGTTGTTCGTCCACTTTTGGGCTGTGTTAATACTCTAGAACTTGAATTTTGCGTGCACACCCGTTCTTAGGATCTAGCTTATCTGTAGCCGACTGAGGGTTTTTCGTCTGTCAGGTACAGGCACTCCAGCTTCGGAGGACACATCCTAATAAGTAGTCTTTTAGGACATGATTGTTAGGGGACAGTCAGTTTCTTCTTTGTTCCTTCTAAAAAAGGGCACCGGAAACCACACTGCAGACTTTAACAGCTGAGATTTAATTCTGGTTGCACCGCCTGTCTGCGTGTGGTGCAGATCGGGCGTTTCCTTATTCACTCAAGTCGAACTTGCAGAGGATGACTAAGGCTAAACGTTTTGTATCTGAATACCTCACAGCTATGACAGACACTGGAATTGATATCTGAATACCTCACAGCTATGACAGACACTGGAATTGATATCTGAATACCTCACAGCTATGACAGACACTGGAATTGATATCTGAATACCTCACAGCTATGACAGACACTGGAATTGATATCTGAATACCTCACAGCTATGACAGACACTGGAATTGATATCTGAATACCTCACAGCTATGACAGACACTGGAATTGATATCTGAATACCTCACAGCTATGACAGACACTGGAATTGATATCTGAATACCTCACAGCTATGACAGACACTGGAATTGATATCTGAATACCTCACAGCTATGACAGACACTGGAATTGATATCTGAATACCTCACAGCTATGACAGACACTGGAATTGATATCTGAATACCTCACAGCTATGACAGACACTGGAATTGATATCTGAATACCTCACAGCTATGACAGACACTGGAATTGATATCTGAATACCTCACAGCTATGACAGACACTGGAATTGATATCTGAATACCTCACAGCTATGACAGACACTGGAATTGATATCTGAATACCTCACAGCTATGACAGACACTGGAATTGATATCTGAATACCTCACAGCTATGACAGACACTGGAATTGAATTAGTCAATGTGTATTAGAAATGTCGGCGTCGGTGGTTTGGGCATTGTGAATACGTTTCGTTATTCTGTAGCGATCTCAGCCTTCCTGTGGGGCTTGTGGGGCCTCATGGTAAGTAAAACGAGATTAGACCCACTGACTACCCCCCCCCCCCCCCCAAAAAAATAAAGTACGTGGTAGGAGACGATTAATTGGGATCTTCCTTCCGTCAGAGTACATATACCCAAGCGACAATGGACAACAAACTGCACCAAATAAGCCAGTAAAACGGATGAACACGCAAAACTCAGGCCCAAATGAAGGAATAACCAGGACTCTCCACCACAACAGGCGGTGAACGTGGAGAAGAAAACCATCTCAGCTGCGGGCAGTTTCGTAGCCGACTGCCTTGCCTTGGTTTCATCAGTGGAACTGAGAGCCGTTTGTTCATTAGGCAATGGCAAATTACTGAACATAAAATCGCTTAGTAAAACTACAAACAGCTAAACATATCTAGGCTTAGTTCTGTAACATCCTGTAACGGACACGTAACTAGCTGCTGTTAGTTACAAACATATAGTAACTCAGAGTGCGGTCTAAGGAACATACAATTTACACCAACCATTGTGGTAATTCTGCTGTGTTTACACAGACCTTCGTTGATTCGTTCCTTTGTTGTGTACAGAAGTGGCAGAGTCGTTGCTTTCCATCACTGATGTTTGATTTCACATGTTTTTTTTTAAATATATAAAAAAAATTAAGTCTATTCCTGTTTTGATTTACCCCATGGTGCAATCAACACTTTGACTTCGCAACGTATTTCTAACTCTCAAATGTCACAGAAAATGCCTAGCATTCCAGAATAATGTAAGAGACATCATTTTTAAAAAGTCATATTTCTGCCGCTTACATACAATTTCTCACCTTCGATCTAATTACTCAATATTTTGCCGTCCATCTTTCACACCCATACATAAGTAGGGCCGTACCAATTAGCTCTCTCCACACACAGGGAGGGGGGCCCCAGTAGCTCTCTCCACACATAGGGAGGGGGGCCCCAGTAGCTCTCACCACACAAGGGGGTTGTGGTCACAAGTAGCTCACCACCCACACATAGGGAGTGTGGCCCCAAGTAACTCAACCCAGCACATTAGGAATGTGGCTCCAAGTAACTCACCCATACACGTTGCAAGTGCTTTCGCAAGTAACTCAACCCAACACATCAGGATTATGACCCCTAGTCAACCCCCCTACCCCACCCCCCCCCACACACACACACATCGGGAGTAACTCACCCCCACATAACGGGAGTGTGGTCTCAAGTAACTCACCCCCACATAACGGGAGTGTGGTCCCAAGTAACTCACCCCCACATAACGGGAGTGTGGTCCCAGTTATCTCTCAAGAAACTGAGTAATCGCACAAATAATAATACCAACCGGGTGCGTTAAAGGCTAAAACCTTTCTGGTTCCCAGAGCAGTGCTGGTCTCCACGATCTCCACTGACATGCCGGACTCCACATTCTCCCACACAGAGGCCGTCACATCGCCGCCTGCTACCGGCTGATAGAACACACAACAATGTCGTCACATAACCAGTCAGGTTACAATTAGCTAACCAAGTTTCTGTATTTGTCAGTTGAATGAAGTTGTTCTATAAAACTTATTTTTATACCAGATTTCCACCATCAGTCAGAAGGTCGCTCTCGTCAAAACACCGCTGTAAGTCTCAGTCTCAGTCTCTCTCTCTCTCTCTCTCTCTCTCTCTCTCTCTCTCTCTCTCCTCTCTCTCTCTCTCTCTCTCTCTCTCTCTCTCTCTCTCTCTCTCTCTCTCTCTCTCTCTCTATGTGCTAGTCTACCAAGGTCCGACTATTAAGTTATGAGATTGGATTTATTATGGCCAAGACAAAAATGTCATGTTTAAAGCAACGCATGGAATCTAATTAGGCAACATTTATCTATGATCTGGAAACTTTTCATCGCCGCTCATTAAGCAGAAAACCGCTATTTTGTCGACCTAGTCAGAGATGCATTGTTACATAATCAGCACGTAGCAAAAAGCTAACATTACATTCTTTTTAAAACTCAGTGAAGCCCCATTGGAACAATTGAATTGATGTACCAAACTTATGGAGATAATTGTTTATCTCGTGCACAAATTTGTAAGTGGTATTCACGATTTAAAAGTGGTGTGGAAATGATTACTAATGCACCTAGACCTGGACGCAAAATTTATGTTCGTAATGATGAACTCATTGCAAAATTCAGAGAACGGATACAAGAAGATCATTATTTTACTGCGAGGATGATGGCAGGTGAATCTTGTGTCAAAACATTTTACCTCGGATGCATGTGTTGTGCACGTACGTGGTATGTATTAATATTATACATGCATTTTTCATGTATTCATGTGGTAATGTTTGTCTGGCTGTTTTTAAGATCTGGGCATTTTTTAAAGAACGCACAAGTTTCTTCTTTTTCTTCCGGTTTAAGGAGGGAATGTTTTAGTTATAAACTATATTTTTATGAACACTGACACATGACAGCCCAAACCCCTCTTGTCTTGGACCTGCCCACATCTTGTACACATCTATGTTAATGAGATGATGTCAAAACTTGGACTTTTCTCTATAGATAAACAGTCCTGCTTTTGTTAATATGTGTCAAGATTTCGGTTCGAGTACTCATTTTTTATCCTAATTCTCTTGGGAATGACATAAATTTAAATTCAGCCATATAGGTGGGAAATTTACTTATGGTAAAGCATGATTACATTTGTCTAACTACCGCTTTGCACGCGAATAAATCCCCTCCCGCATCTAGCTGGAGAGACGCTTAGATTTGGGACTCATTCATAACTGAGCTCCTAGACTAAGAAGACGGCTTGCTGCCCTATTTTTCCTTTGTTTGAATCACCGATTCACCCAGGAACGTTCATGAGTATGGGTAAGTACATTCTAGAGTATAAGTACCGAAGATTTCGGCCCTGCTGCTGTTGGTAAGACAGATGTGGCTATGTGAAGCAACGGGACTTGGCTGTGAAACCATTAAAACTGCAAGAAGGCGCGAAACCAGAGCGTTCTCCTACAAGCCCATGTAAAGTCTATCCGCGAACTACTTCTAGGGGTCCAGACAGTTTGGACATTACGTATCCATTTTGTAATAATAATATTGCTTACATTTGATATTTATATGTGCTCCTTTTAATTGGGAGGGCCAACAGGGCATGGCCAGAGCGTATTGATCGTTCTCAGCTGAGTCATGCTAATTTTAGTACAGGTGTGATGTCACGTCCGCCCTGCCCATAATGTAAACAGGGCTTTCCTAACATATATATTTTTGTATTGGTGGTATACTTCTGTAAGTATAAGTATCCCATTATGGAAAAAAATGATGTTATCCTTTTATATGTTGGCATATGCAGACTATTGCTGTCACTAGAGAGCAGTAATTAGACGGAACATAGTTTCTTTCTGACCTCACTGCTAGCAATGCTGATCCTGGGATAGTTACAGACCTTAGTGGTCTATAAAAGCCCAGGACAGACATCTTAGCTAAAATACTATAGAGAAATCGATGGGTGGTGAACATGGTATGGTGTTTGGTGATTGCCAACTCTGGTTTTTCTCTTTGTCACAGGATGTTATTACTATCTGGAGGCCAAGTCAGTGATCAGTATCCTAAAATACACCCAATGTAACCAACATACAACCTGCAGTATGAGGGGTCCTTAATGAACACCTCCCTCATGTCCATGTACCATTATGAGGGGTCCTTAATGAAAACCTCCCTCATGTCCATGTACCATTATCCAGTGCCACACGAGACGACAATTGTCAACTGTGCTTGTATGATCACCATCAGTTTATGTCCTCAAACCCAGTAACTTTTTATATGGTCATGCTACCAACACCTGCCACTACCAGAGGGTGGTATATACTCTAATCTATAACAATTAATAGATAACACGGAACTTTATCCCGTGAACTTACTTTTAGGGCCAACAATTTTAGATTGATTGTGGTCAACTTTTTTTTTTTTTTTTTTTCAAGTGTTAAAACTATGTTGAACTATGAAATTAATGGTGAATTCACAAGGCTCTGTACCGGCTCAGGTTGGAAGAGCCAGCATTTCAGAGGAACAGGATATCCTGGCCAGATAAATTGTGGGGACCAGATACTGCGGTTAATACTAACACTGAGTGCCAGTTACCTAGGTCCAAAATTCCACAGTTTAGCAGTGATGGCACTTGCTGTTGCTAGGGACAAACCAGGAGTCCACATGGAGTAGAGAATTCTTTACTTCCCTAGTTGGTTTACTTTGTCTTGCTGAATTCATGCATTTACTTTCTTACTTGTGTTGCACTGAATATATGATGTTTTAATATTTTACATTATGTGGTTAGAGTCCATCCCTCACAATTCTTAAGTTGTCTGTAATGTATTTGGTATTGTGTAATTCATGTTATACTGTGTTAATTTGACTAGCATAGGATTACTAACTTGTCTGGGTGCTTAGAAGTGGTGGGGAAGTCAGTCTAAGTTGCGCTTAGGAATGTTTATAAATTCTGTAGTTCTATAATTTGAGTCGATTCACCCCTAAAGTTGGTTAAATTTTTTTTAGTGCTGCGGTATACCGTCTACATCATTGCGAGCAAACATTTTAATACTGAAACTTCTTCAGAGTGTCTTCTGGTACATTAGGGGAACCCTAACAAAGACACATGACAAGAGAGTTATGTCCGTTTTACCAATGCGGCTGAGTTGTATATTCGAAAGAACCAGGCCCTAATTATTTGCCTTTTACGACATGCTTGTTAGGGAAGCAGTGGGTCGATTCTCTTCCACTCCCCTCCCACCCCCACAATGGGGTCCTGGAAGCCACACGGGAATAAAAGTTTCTCAGTGTTGAAAAATAGAAATGAGATACCAGTCGACCTGAAGTACAGGTAATGTTTTTCTACAGCTAACACAGCATAAATAGAAATATCTAGGTTCTGTTTACCTTTGGTACTGGGTTTCCACTGAGAATACCTTTGGCATGATGACTCAGTCCGTACTGTGCAACCGTAATAGCGTAGTAATAGCCTGCTGGGTCCCACTGACTGACCAGTGGCACTCCTGAGTGAAAGAACATGGATCCTATTTAATTGATAGTCACATTCACATGGGCCTTATCTGTGCGATTTATGGCCACGCTGGCTAGAGGTAAGGAGTCTCCTTTACAAGGTTTAGACGTTTTGTTCAGTACTCGAATAAAGTGTTTACAAGTATCCCTGTGCATAGTCACTGACGTTACAGTGTTTCTGCTTTGTGTGACGATTTCTGCAGGTTGCTTGTAGTTCCGCAGAGAGTGACGCAGTCATATGGAATAACCTGGACAATGAAGTCGATCTTCCTGACATGAACTTGAACTTTAAACTTTATGTTGAAGGGAAAGTTATGCCATGGTCCCAGGAAGGTTACCTATTGTCATGTTCTGTCATGTGGAAGTTAACTTGTATCATTGATATACCCGCTGTAGGCTATTTTCATATTTATTTCTAGGATCATGTCTAGATTTATGCCGGAGCTGCAACGCTAAAACATACCACTGCAAGTTGTGACACTGAGTTGTCTGATATGTCAAGAGGAACTTAGCTATTTTCACTGCTTTCTCTATAAACAATGTCGTTGTTGTTTTCATTTCGCTTTTATACATCAATTTCAACATCTTAGCATCATCATCATCATCATCATCCTCATGTGCCCTGTCAATTGGCGTAGGCGCTTATCCATCTCCACAGATCACGATCCCTGGTTGCCTGGAACAGCTCTCTTGATGATATCCCTCCATGCCATCGTTTCAGACAATCCAGCATTATCTCTCTTGGTCTGCCTCTATCCGTCTTTCCACTGATCTTTCCAGTTGTCATGATGTTTTCCTTTGCCTCTCTTTTCATTACGTGGCCAAAGAAATGTGTTTGTCTCCTTCTTATTGTTGTATATAGAGATCTACTTTTATTAACTTCTTTTAAACAATCTTTGCTAGTTGCTCTGTCTGTCCAAGGTATTCGTAACATTCGTCTCAGAAACTACATCTCTTTTGCTTCCAATTTCTTCCTAATTTCTTCACTGACATTCCAAGATTCTCTGCCATACAGCAGAAATGTTCTACATAACATTTTAGCACTTTCTTTCTGTCATTGAATGAGAGCTACTTATTGCATAAGATATTTTTCATTTTCTGAAATGCTGTCTTTGCGTGACCTATTCTGCTTTTAATCTCTGTCACATATTCTTCATTGTTAATATGACTTCCCAGATATTTGAATTTATTTACTTGGTTAGGTCTTTTCCCTTCAATTGAGATATCACAAAGTGGTGTTATTTTCTTCTTTGATATATATAATCATTACTTCCGTTTTCCTAATATTCAACTAAAGTCCTTTCTTAGCACTCTTCATCCCCACAATATCCAGCAGTTGTTGTAAATCAGTTGCGTTTTCAGTTATCAAAACTTTATCGTCTGATTAAGGCAAATTGTTTATATTGTACCTCCAACTCTTATTCCTGCTATCTAATTTCCCTGCAAATTACTTCACTACATAAACAGAAAAAGTCTGGAAATAAAACACATCCCTGTCTTACTCCTTGCTTCATCTGTTCAAAAGTACCCAGTCTGTTTCCTACTTTAATTCCTGCTACTTGGTTCCGGTAAATGTTTTTATTCTGAGAACTACCCATCTACATTGATGTCTTGCAACATTTTTATCAACTCCTCATGTCAAATTCTTTGGTATAATCTATAAAGCACAAATATATTTCATGTTGTCTGTTCATTGATCTTTCAATCAGTGTTCGTAATATGCATAGTTCTTTTCATGTAACTTTACCTTCAATAAATCCACACTGCTCTTCACTCATTTCCATTCTTTTTTTTCTTTTGTTCTTCTCATTATAATTCTAAGTAGTAATTTGGCGGCAAATTACTACTTAGTATTTTAAGGAGAAGAACGAAAAAACAATAATAAAAACGGAAATGAGTGAAGAGTAGTGTGGAACACGTTCCAGAAATCTGTTCATGAACTGGATGGAGCAAACAGAAAGGTAAAGATCGAACTGCCTTGACTATCTGGATGTTGATTTCTCACTCCAGGGATTGTTATTGACTGAGGTTCACAAATATGTAAAATATCTCCAGTTCTTCGTTAGCAGTGAAGACTGCAGTTATATCATTACCACCTTGCACCATGTTATGTGTCTTCTTTTTTGCTGACATACATACATACATATATACATACATA